ATGGTACAGTACAGAATTTATGTAGTGTCCCATAAACTCTGACATCCTTAAAAGGCTTCTGATCTCCCTAGCTTAATAATAATATACATTTTAAAAGAGCTCTAGAATTGCTTCACATCATCAGAAATTCATTACCAAAAGGAGCTAAGAACTTTTCTCTCAGAACTTAAAAAAAGAGATGGATCTATGCAATATGCAACAGTCTACTGCTACAGTTTGCAAGAGCTTACAGAAAGTCCTTCATTCGAATGAAATAAAAATCTGATGTAAGGAACGTCTCCTTACTGCCCCATTAAATTTTAAAAGTAAATACCAGCGCCAGCTAATGCCAGCCTAAAGAAACAAGGGACTGCAATACTTGAAAAAAAATGAAACTTTTTAGCAAAGACAGTTCAAAGGCACCAATTTGTTACATAGATCTAGATCTATTCAACAGCAAGATTAGATAAGAGATCTACAGAGAAGAGCAAATAAGTTACTGTAATTACTACTTGATGACAACTGTGGCTGAAAGGTTAGCTTTTACTTCTGAAATGTGAGCGTTCTCGTTTGCAGTGTAAATTTAGTCTACTCAGGTAGAAAAGAATTAAAAACAAACTGACCTTTGTTTCTCTTTTCATAGCAACAGTAAACAGCATTCAGTGCAAAAGAAGTTCCTCAAGATCAGCACTGAAGAAAAGCAGGATATTACAGAGAGGAAGTTATGAAACTTTAAAAGCTGCACAGATACGAAGAAAGAAAAGCTCAACTCGCATTTCAGAGGGCATGCCTGATTTTAGTTTGTGATTCTTTCCATAAACGCTAATACAGATGACTTCAAGTACAACTGTATCCAAACTGTGGGATTCAATCAATGTTCAAGTGTGCCTGTATAACTAATGGATTTAAACAAGTCTTCCAAAACAACATTTGCTGTCTTTTCTTACAGCAAAGCTCCTGCTTGTTTTCAGTGCCCTTTGCCCCTCCCTCACAACAGAGCTGGCGTTTCCCAGTGCTGCTGCTTCCAAGAACCACCTCGTTTCTACCCTTATTCAAGGACATATCTTATCAGGCTGATTAATGCCTAACTATGTATCAACCTACTCACAAGATAGAAACACCACAGCAGAAGTCTCCCCTTGTTTCTTAAAGGTGTTATAGAAAATGCCAGTTTCATCCAGCTTAATAGGATCCCTCTGGAAAAGTGTGATACGAAGGAGTAAAAGAGCCTTTTACTTTTTAATTGCCGCTGTCAGCTAACTAGAAAATACTCTCAGGTGACACCGTGCACTGACAAGTTGAAGTCAGCGATGACCCTCTGAGACTGACTGATATTTATTCTGTCTCCAACTTCCGATCCTTTAAGGCTATGTATACCCCTGACCAATTCAAAATACACTGTTTTCACAGTTATCTATAGAAACCTGGGACTCTTTGCAGCACATGGGCAAGTTTTTATTCATTTATGGGTAACAGGTACGGTCACATTAACAGACTTGCTTTTCTTTTTTCTTTCTTTTTTTGGCACTTCCTTGGGGGAAAGCAAAAGGTGGATCAGAGGCTAATGTTCTGAAGTGTCAGGGCACACTGCAATCAACCCACAGTTTGTAGGCTGCACACCACAGTGTGGTAGACTGCAGCTTCAATTACTACAGAGCTCAGCATGCACTAAAACTCATGCTCACTACATGAGGTAACTGCATGATGCTGCTTTCTGATCTCTGAACAGCAACAAAGACATGTCCTGTAAGTCCAGTTTCCTCCCCATGACGTGTGATGTGCATAGTTAACAGATTGCTCCCACAGGGACTCCAAGCTGCCTGTACCCAAGCACTGTACCAGCACAGCAGGAGCATATTTGGCTCTGCACCTGCCCTGTGAGTAGTCCAGAAGCTTGGCTAACTCCACTCTGGACATTTGCCAGTGTCCCTAAGAAACACGTAAGGTAAAGCCATCCAAAAGGACTCTTACATTCCTTATGTTCCCTGCTGGACTTCAAGTATTCAGGTAAATAGAGCTGCCAGTTTAGCACCCCCCAAAATGCATCTGGTTTACACGTACACCCAAAAGTACTTCACAAACCAAGCCAGCATGAACTATATGGGGGCAACTGCAAGATTTACATGGCCATTCCACAGGCCTGAATAAAAATATTAACATAGATTAAACAAAGCAAAAAGGGAGTTAGGTCCCCTCCTCTTCTATGACATGGATATTCAGTACTCTCTGCTATGTACTACTTTAAAAGCTTTATAGCTTTCCTTTAAAGATTTTGTAGAGAAAGCCCAGGTGCAAGGTCTGAGCAACTGTACAACACAGATACAGTGCCCACCAGAATCAAACAGCAGCAATACTGTGGCTGTTCAAAAAGCCCTAACCTTTGTTTTCCTAATGGACTGTTCCATTACTACTCCGCTCTGCTCCCTTTCTTCCCAAGGCCTTATTACCTGAAAACTAGAGCTTTCAGTTTCATTTAGGAATTGTGATAGTTGCTAAGGAGAGCAACAATATTTTCTTGCTTTTTCCCAGCTACAAGTAGTGGACCCTGGAGTTCCACAGGAAGCACTGGGCCTCAGGAGGAGCCTGTCACCTGAAGGCCAGCGCTACCAAGAAAAGGCTTGCCACCTCCTCACTGCAGCCCAAGGGCTCGAGAGCCTGCTGTGGTTTTATAAAGAAGATTTGGTATTGTATTTGTGTGAATTTCAACTTGGAAACACAGACTGTTTTTTCCCTAGAACTTCTCCAGCTAACAAAGCGGACCAGGCCTACACACAGACAGCTGTCACCAGCCAAACATCCCTTCTGATGACCACCATCTTCTGAGCAGCACCAGCCCTGCAGCTTAGAGGCAGCTCCTGAGGCAGCATCTTTTTCAGGCCAGCATCCGCAAGTGAAGCAGCTCTGCAGCAGATTACCATTCATTATTCCAGAGTAAATTTTTTAGCCTTCTGGACTGGTCTATTTTCTGTTTATGTGTGTATATACAGATGTATAAGCACATTTTCATACACACATATGCATATACTTCAAGCAAAAGAGGAAAATAAAACCATTCCTTTCATTTCCTTCCATTTCATTTTATAGAAAAGAAAATATCTACTTGCTTTGTGACTATTTGGCTATTTGCTTGAAGACTAATCCATGGAGAACAAAAGACAGTGTTAGTACAGTACCCAAATTCATCATGCAACAGAAAGATATTTTTATTCTTACAGAATAATAAACTATCAGTTTAGAAAATGAACAAACAGAAATTCAATCCAGCCAGCAAGGTCTTCTTGGGAAGAATACGGCTGAACTTTGTTAAGACAGCAAAAAGATTACCTTACTAAAGATTACCTTTAGTCTGTTTTCTTAGGATACATTTGTATGTCAGACACTTTCTAAACATAACCATCTATACATGGGTGGAGTACATCAGAAAAAGTGCTGTTTTGCTTGCTTAGAAAAGTAACAGGCAAGCTGTTATGGGAACCATCATCAAATAAAAGTCATGTAAAAATATGACGTTCCTTAATCTAAACTTTTTCTCCTCAAACAATGGCAGGCTGCACTTGTATCCCTCTGTGACATTACAAAGAGATATAGGCAGTGCCCTAAATGGAAACATAATATTATCCTAAAACAGAACTCTTTTTGCAAGGTCTGTCTACTGTCTCCAGCAGTGCCTTACTCCTGAATTCTCATTAGAGAGTTCATCTTTCCTGTGCAAGTTAGGCTACCCACAGAAACATCCTAATCTGTGTTGAGATTAGACAGCCAGGACATGTGCAAGTTTTTGTGAGGACACATCAGACATAGTATATCATCAGACAAGCTCTAGCGTGTTCAGAAAGCCCTGGCAAGTGCTTGCTCTCATCCAGCTCAAGCTGAGCTAGACAAGGGAAAATAAAGGAATTGGTACAGCATTCCAAACCTGCAGCATTAAGCAGAGAACTGTCTGATATTTCCCAAGTTGATGAAAAAGCATATCATTAGGTCAGAACACTGACAGTGTAAAGAAGAAAAAACAGCCTTCCAAGACTATTTGTCAAGGGAAAAAAAAAAAAAAAAAGATGAAAAAACTGGCCTGGTAGGTTTCATGCAAAAAGCACAGAAGTGAAGGCTGAATGAAACAAGCAGACAAGTTTTGTTGAGTGGTGCAGATCTACCCAACTATTTATCACTGAGTGATAAGTGTCTATTACTAGTCATCTCCAATTCAAGATCAATTTGTTCATGCACAAAAGCAAAAGTGCAAGTGACATGATTTTCTATGAAATTTTGTTCTGCCACTGACACTCACTATTGTGCTGCTGAACAAAGGCATTCTTGGCTATCAGGTATCAAGACCACATGGTGGACTGAATTAATCAAGCTTAATTATTAATCTATGCAGTCAGGATTTCCGGAGTCAATCCAACCACGCTATTACTATGTCAGCCTGAAACTTGGTGCCTGATGGTAAATGAGTGCACTGTAAAAATCTGTACCCGAATACAGCTCTGGTGTTTATTATGGCAACTCAAAAAATCTCCATTTGATCACCTTTACAATTTTTATTTACGTACACCTAATCTTAAAGCCATTTTTACCTATCAAACCAAAGGAAGCAAACTCCATAAAAACATTAATACTGTGAAATTAAAGATGGCATGACCTATTAATGGGCTTAGTTAAGTATAAGCTTATTCACCTGTTCATTCATGTTTTAATCCACATTTGGTTAAAAGTCACTGATGTAATTTGCAAAGTAGTGTGCACTGCTTTTTTCCTCTACCATACCATTAAGCACTTAACTCCAAAGAAGAATACTTCCTGCAACCTCAAAAGTCTCATTCTGAGTTTGCATCTCAGTTTCTCTCCCTGCCTCAAGCCAACTCCAGTTACTTCAAGGGTATACTCCACTGAGCACCAACAAATCAAGTCTTAAAATTTCAAGACACTAGATCCCATTTGAAATTCACTGCTTAAAAACCGTCACTCATCATACAAGGTCGAACAGGTACCACAGAAATTACTTAAAGCTCAGCAAACCTTACTTCTGGCAGAGGGTTGGCCGGTTTAGTTAGGATTCCTCCCACATAAACGACATTCGGTAGCGTCGGTCTTGGAAACTCCAGTGCTATATCAGTACAAAGCATCCACAGGCTGGATCCGTGAACCAAGTCATACATAGATCGTTCAGGCAGAACCTTGTACTTCTGCATTATCCTTTCATATTTTGGCAGAACCAAAAAGCTGACTCCAAATCTTGAAATAAGATAAACAAAAGTATTTTTCATCCTCTCAAATAGGTTCATGTGATCTGTAAGTAGTGAGTTAAATTCTGGAACGTAAGAGAGTGGAGCTGGAGCACCCACTTCTGCTGGATACCAGAGGCCAGTGGAAAAGACGGCATACTTAACCCCTAAAAGGTGAGCTATAACAAATCCACACATCTCATTGGGATCTACCAGGAGCAGGTCAAACTTTTCCTGTTTCAGGGCACGCATGAGGTTTTGGTTGCCAACAATCATGTCACAGTTCTTTGAATAGTGGTCCAGGATGTCAAACAGTTCCAGGGCTGTCAGTCTACCAGAGAAGATACTCCTCATCTTGGACTGGAGAAAGTCATCTGATGTACTGCTGTTAAAGATCCCTGGGTAGCGCTGAAGTCTATAGTGATTAGACGGAGGAATCTCTCTGCCCTCAGAGAGGAGAAACACTGTCTGGTGACCTTGGTCATGCAAGGCTGAGGCCAGAGTCTTGAAAATATAAAGATGGCTTTCAAACATAATTGGCGGCACAACAACAATTTTGGCAGCCCTTGCTATCCCAACAGCGCTCCACAGGAGGATGAAAACTGGAGTGTACGGCTTCATAGCTGAAATGAGAAACAAGAGCATGACATCAACAGCATACAGGTTGGTATTTTACCTGGAAATTAAAAAAGAAAAAAAAAAAAGAGTTATGTTTTAACTCGGTAGCTATCCCCTATCTCAAAGATGTCTTTGCAATTGTAATGGGAAGAACAGCGACACAAGGCTTTAGAATAGGTTTGGTAGCGTTCATTTTCCAAAAAGGTCTGCACTCTTCCCTCCCTCTGTGTTTCCATCTAGCGCAGAGGGTAGATGAGATCTCTTCCAACATGGGTAACAATACAGCATCGGCACTACATGGCAGGAAAACTGACAGAGAGAATGAGGTTAGTGCCCTCCACAAAGATACTGCACGCACTGCTTCTGAATTATACATGCTATCTAACAGCTACAGTATCTTGAAGTCAGGGTCAGAAAGCTAGACCCTGTAAGATCTGGAATTATATTTAAAATCACAATCACACTGTAATCACCATAACAAACTGTGTGAATTGAATATTCTTTAAGGACACCACACTGAAAGACCCAAAGGCTATAAAGCCATACTTGCTCACATCTGAAGGATGCACAGGCTGTTTCCTTTCAGCACAGAATATGACTATTTCATAGACACGTTTCAGTCTTTCATCCCTAACTAGAACTTCCACAACAACAATTCTTACTGTTCACTTTGTGTTCACTGTACTGAAACCCCCACCCTCCTTCTGTCAACACATGAGTAATTCTGCTGCAAGTGCCACTGATAACCAACCACAGCTTTCAGGCTGTCCTCTTTCAAAACCGCTGGTCTCTGTTCTGATTTCCTTGACACTTTCTGCTGTTTTGTTTTCACATAAACCAATGAGAATTGAGCATATAAAGACTCTTCCACTACAAGGACATTACTTTTCTTGTTTAGTATCAACACTGAAGTCGAAAGCTGAAACCTACCAGGAAGATGCTACCAAGAACCAATGCGGCAACTTTAATCTTCCAAAAACTACACTTTGCATTTGAGAACAAGCGAAATAAAAGGGAATTAGAACCATGCACATGAATATTCACACCAGCTTCCAGTGAAGCAGTTTTACAGGTGCTAGATTCTAAGCCTACTTAAATTGGCTCTTACACAGACACTTAAGCCTATACTGATAATAATATCATCCTAAACAAAGGCAGTTCTTGACAGCAGCAGGCTTCTGAGGGACAAGAAAATAATTTTCCTTGCAAGTAAAGCCTACAAAACATTGTACATCAGATGAAAGCAAAGCCTACCAGAAGCATGGAGAGGGAATGTCAGCATGCTTCTCAGTCACATTAACCCTCTTAGGATAGGGAAATGAGTACAAGCCAAACCAAACAATCTGCTATTTTCTTGTGCCAAACCTAACCCATGTAGAAATGAGTCTCTCACAGTGTCCTTTATAAACAAGCAGTACAGAAGCTAGTGACACTACTACTCAGGCCTTATCATCTCCTTACAGTGTACTGCAAGGTTAGGCTGGTCCAGGCTCTGAGCAACCTGTTCTAGCTGTAGGCATCCCCATTTATTGAGGGGGAGTTGGACTAGCTGACTTTCAAGGGTCCCTTTTAATTCAAACAATTCTGGGCTTCTATGATTCTACTCCTGTAACTCACCTAAAACAGACTGCTTAGAATTTAATGTATTTATTTTAAATGTCATGTGAGTTACCAGCTCATCAAAAGACCATCTTAACTGTATCACTACAATCTAATATCGGACTTTCTGATAACATTTTTTTCCCTAGTCCAGCTTCTGCAGGTGGCTTGATTTTGAAGCATTTATATACATGCACAGAGTTCAAGTAAAGCTGCAAAATTGCAACAAGGCACACGGATTATTTACATTATGTTTGTCACGTGAAACTCTTTCTGCACTTGACATCTGTTCTACACTCATCTTCAAAAAGCCTTAGCCACTACCTAGGACATAACTGACCGTCACAAGAATCCTACCTATTTTAAATAATTATCACCAGCTGCTGTCTTTGCATGCATGCAAATTCAATTAAAAAGTCCGTGAGGGCAAAGAGAGCTGGCTTAATTTGGTTTTGTTTTGTCTTCCTGTGAAAAAGCTCGCTGTACAACAAGGTGATGCAAAATTTTACGGTGCCCGTGAGCAGGCAGGAAGAAACAGAAGCACAGGAAACACACTGAGATTGCTGGAATGCCAATGCATCCATGGGCTGAAGTAGTGTTCTGTCAGGTGCTCCAAGAAGCTTCACTGTTTTGATGCACAAAGCTCAATTTTAACAAGATAATATGTCAGTGGAAGAGGAAGAAAATTGCTTGCTGCAAATATTACCAGCAGCACTAATCTGACATCAGATGAGATTGAGTTGTTTGCTAAACTACTTTAATTAGGGTGTCACAAGTTACCCCAAAACTGCTCTTCCCCTGCAAACAGCAGTAATCAAAATAAAAACAAACAGCAATTCTGTATTTTTCTCCAATCAATTTCAAAAAAGCACGCTTTCTATATAAGAAACAGCTTGCCTCTTGATTAAAACTTAAAACTATTAAAGCTTTGACAAAAAAAAATGAACCATGACATCAATGTCAAGAAAAACAGAAGTCCAGTATTGCATTACTTAGTTTTTCCATTGTTAGATCTGCAGCAAAAACTCCTGACCTATAAGGTTGTGTTTAAAGCATTAAAGTATAAATTGACTTTTCAGTTCAGGCCTTTGCTTTCATTGGTGGCTCTATAAAACCGCAGCACTCCACAGAGCTCAGCTGACTTCAGGAGCTCTCACCGGAAGGATGTGCCCAGACCGGGTGCTGTTAATCACTCCACTCAGCACCGCGCTTCACTCCCACCCACATGTTCACAGACTTCAGGCTGCAGGGGCTGTACCAGTGAAGAACACAGGCCTGGCACAGCATCCACATCTCAGACAAACAAGCCACGCTCAACTATCATCATCTGCGCTCTGCTGATCAACAGTGTTGGAGGATAACATCCACTGGGTAAGTTTTGTTTGAAACAGAAACCATTTATCAATTAAGGGACCACTTCTGCCAACAGGAGGGATATTACAAAACAGTAAACACATTGGGAAATGCAGAAAGAATTTATGTTTCTAAGATTATTGCAAATCAACAGTAGCAGCACCTAAAGGCAAGCCATGATCCAACAGGCTGCCAGATGCAAGCACCCCGTGGTGCACTTTGATCTCCTGACCTGCTACAGGCTGGAGCACAGCAGGTCCTAACAAACAGAAAGATACAATCCCTAGCTCCAAGGCCCCTTCTCCACAGCTTACGTCATGCGCATGCCACCAAAAGCCACGTGGCATTACAGCTGCACTTCCTTGGGAAGATTAGAATATCACACCATCTCTTCCCATCCCCGCCCTCAGTCAACAGCTCTGCTTTTAAGTGAAAACATATGGGATGGTTTAATCTTCACGAAGCTCCTCTAAAGCACTAGGCTAGTTAACATGATGTCACTGTAATTACTGACAATTTATGAAACATCAGTTTTTCCCATACTGTGGGACCAAGGATTGCAGATGACACAATTCCCTAGATTTTGTGACATACAGTACCTTCACTATTCTGAACCAATAAAAACCGCATTTCAAAATGTATTATGGAACCCTTCTTTTTACAGAGAAAGAAAAACACATGTACAGGAACTGCCAAACCACAGAGATACTAAACATGCAACAGTTTTAGAGAAATACCTATTAAGAGACCTTTTTATACTGGGAATAATGGCATTGATCTTATACTGCATTTGACCAGAACAAACCACTTACCAAAATAATTTAAAAGGATCAACATTTGAGGTAACTGCATTCTGCTGCTGGATCCTATATTAAAAGGAATCATCAGGTATCCTTATAATAAGGAGAAAAAAAAGCCAAAGATGACACATTTCTCCAAGATAGTTAATAAGATTTAAAAATCAAAAACATTTTCCACCTCCCGCCTAGGATCTGCCTTCATTAAAGATCTTTTGGTGTCTAAGCTAGCACACAGTATCCTTTTATAGGATAAGGATATGTGTTAAGTATGAGAATGAAAAAGAAAAAAAGCCTTTTTTTTTTCATTTAAAAAACTACTGAGACAATTGTTACTGAATTGAAACTCTTAAGCCACAAAGCCCCAATAGCACGAACAAGTATGGAGAACAAGGAGTTCGAAGGAACAGCTTTATAGGAGTAAAAGCAACTGCCGACTGTAAAGGGTTTGGCTATTGGAAGAAGTTAAAAAAATACCAAGAAGTTAAACATTAAACCTATTCCAATGGCTTCTCACAAAATTAATGGCCTACGTGCGGTTTTTGAAATGAAAGAAAAAGCACAAGTTTTAACGGCTACTACAGAAAACCAAGCTCCTCCTGAAATGACTGCTGGAAGGATGCTTTCAGCTGACCAGGAGGTCTAAATTCTGACTTAGTTCTTTGGAAGGCACATTTTCCTATTCATGCAGAAGGACAAAGCAGGACTGAGAACAGGAAATGTGACCGTGCAGATAAGAAGTCAGCATTTTACTCAGGACCTGATACAGGAAGACATGGAAACAAAGAAATCAAGGAACATTTAAGTTTATATGAATTATGTGAGGAAAGTCTTAAAATGCACACCACTAAAACTGAACAAATACTATGCTTGTATTTCAATTCTGAAAATGATTTCAAAATCGTTCAAATTAATAATTTATGCAGCAATCAGTTGCAGCACTGACAAACATACTGAAGGTAAGATTTTCTGCCAATCCTTAATAATATGCCAACCATCCTTTAATTAAAATTTAGACTTTTCCTCTTGTTCCTTCCACCATCCACCTACATACCCTGCTATTTCTGAATCTCACAGAACCCCCATTTTCAAGGCAGCAATGCAATTTTCAGTGGGTTCTTTATTGGCACCATCAGTTTTAAAAGCCAAAGAGGCTCTGAAGCACTTCGGCACGCAGCACAACTTCAATTCAAACTGAAGTGGTAAATACACTTAAAAGTGCAAAAGAGCCAGTTACTTTTACATGTACCATAGAA